ACAGTACACCTCTCTGAACAGTGTCTGGGAGGCTGTGGTTGCTGCTGCATGCAATGTTGATGGTGAACAGATCAAAACACTGACAGAATCCATGGATGGCAGGCTTTTGAGTGTCCTTGCAAAGAAAGGTGGCTATATTGGTCACTGATTTGTTTTGTTTTGTTTTTGAATGTCAGAAATGTATATTTGTGAATGTTGAGATGTTATATTGGTTTCACTGGTAATAATAAATAATTGAAATGGGTATATATTTGTTTTTTGTTAAGTTGCCTAATAATTATGCACAGTAATAGTCACCTGCACACACAGATATCCCCCTAACATAGCTATAACTAAAAACAAACTAAAACTACTTCCAAAAATATTCAGCTTTGATATTAATGAGTTTTTTGGGTTCATTGAGAACATGGTTGTTGTTCAATAATAAAATTAATCCTCAAAAATACAACTTGCCTAATAATTCTGCACTCCCTGTATACACACACACATACACACTAAAGAGCAAGCATGTCCAGTTAAGATACAATGACAAAGAAATGGTGGTTAGAGATATATAGTTTAAAAATATGCAAGGGGTTAAAATTCAATACAATTATAGTGTCCAGTATTAAGGGTAGATAGTTTCCTCCATAATCTACCTTGCAGAAACTCAGACATGCATAAGGCCTTTTCCTTCCAGCTGTAGGTGATCTGAGCACTGTTCAAGTTTGCTAGAAGTGGTCTTTTAAAACTCAGACTGTGGAAGACAGAGATGACAGGGTCAAAACAGGACTGCAATAAAAGCTATGGAATGGAGATGCACAGAGGAGGTGAGGATTGGTCAAGCAAGACATTCGGGTGGGTATCAATAAAATAAGGAGGGGGGGGGGAAGAAGAAATAACAGAGAAAATCTTTAGAGATAAGCAGGATGTTGAATAATATTTAAGTTAACAAAACCAATGTTGAGCAGGGCAGGGAGCAACTAGCTTTAGCATGCAGGACAAGACAAACTGCAGAATATATGTGTGTATGAGCAAACACACACATACATATATATATATACACACACATACACACTAAAGAGCAAGCACGTCCAGTTAAGATACAATGACAAAGAAATGGTTTTTAGAGATATATAGTTTAAAAATATGCAAGGGGTTAAAATTCAATACAATTATAGTGTCCAGTATTAAGGGTAGATAGTTTCCTCCATAGTCTACCTTGCAGAAACTCAGACATGCATAAGGCCTTTTCCTTCCAGCTGTAGGTGATCTGAGCACTGTTCGAGTTTGCTAGAAGTGGTCTTTTAAAACTCAGAATTACTTCTCAATTATCTCCAAGGCAGAGGGGAGGAAGCCAGGATGCATTGTGGGAATATAATGTGGCTGTGTGTCCTATTTGTCCACTTGTCTGTCTTTTGTCACAGTCTCCCATTTGGTCCCCTAGGGGACTGTCCACCAGGTGGGAGACCTGCATAAAAGCCGGGCAGTTAGCCCCAGTAAATCAGTTCCTGCTTAACCCTCAAAGTGAAGTGTTGTCTCATTATTGGGGGAGGATTTACTATATGCTGTTAGGGACTGATTACCAGGAGTGTAAGCCACTTGGGGGCTTTTCCTGTTCGTCTGCTAGCAGCTATTCGTGTGTCTCCAGTTCGGGAGTTTGGAGTGCTACTTGGTATGCAGTTCGGGAGTTTCGAGTATTCCCTTGGTTGCAGTTCGGGAGTTGGTGAATTCGTGGGTTTGCAGTTCGGGAGATTGGTGCTTGCAGTAGCTGTCTGGGCAGCTGAAAAAGGGGAATATCGCCTAAACGGTTTTTAACCGCTTGTGGGCAAAACGGTCCGTTACAGTTACGTTAGCCTCGTGCCTACCCCACACATGCTTAAACTCCTTTTCTGTGTTAACCTCTACCACTTCAGCTGGAAGGCTATTCCATGCATCCACTACACTCTCAGTAAAGTAAAACTGCACGTTGATATTATTTTTAAACCTTTGTCCCTCTAATTTAAGACTATGTCCTCTTGTTGTGGTACTTTTTCTTCTTTTAAATATAGTCTCCTCCTTTACTGTGTTGATTCCCTTTATATATTTAAATGTTTCTATCATATCCCCCCGTCTCGTCTTTCCTCCAAACTATACATGTTAAGATCCTTTAACCTTTCCTGGTAAGTTTTATCCCGCAATCCATGAACCAGTTTAGTAGCCCTTCTCTGAACCCTCTCTAAGGTATCAATATCCTTCTGAAGATACGGTCTCCAGTACTGCGTACAATACTCCAAGTGAGGTCTCACCAGTGTTCTGTACAATGGCATGAGCACTTCCCTTTTTCTACTGCTAATACATCTCCCTATACAACCAAGCATTCTGCTAGCATTTCCTGCTGCTCTATTACATTGTCTGCCTACCTTTAAGTCATCAGAAATAATCACCCCTAAATCCCTTTTCTCATATGTTGAGGTTAGAACTCTATCAAATATTCTGTACTCTGCCCTTGGGTTTTTACGTCCAAGATGCATTTTCTTGCACTTATCCACATTAAATGTCAGTTGCCACAATTCTGACCATTTTTCTAGTTTACCTAAATCATTTGCCACTTGGCTTATCCCTCCTGGAACATCAACCCTGTTACATATCTTAGTATCATCAGCAAAAAGACATACCTTACCATCAAGACCTTCTGCAATATCACTAATAAAAATATTAAAGAGAATGGGTCCAAGTACAGATCCCTGAGGTACCCCACTGGTGACAAGTCCAAGCTTCGAATATATTCCATTAACTACAACCCAATTAAGTTAACTACAAAAAGACTGGACAAACCCCATTTGCAATACCTTGGGTTGTCTACTTTTGCAAGTGGTATGGCATCATGGGGGTAATTCTCATTCCTGGGCTACCATACGGTCTCAAAGGCAACGTAACCAATCTAGCAAATTTTGAAGTTAAAAAACTGAAACACAAGCCTTATATTTGACTCTGTAACTTTTGAAAACACCATAAAACATGTACATGAGGGGCACTGTTATACTCAGGAGACTTTGCTGAACACGAATATTAGTGTTTCAAAACCGTAAAACATATCACAAGAATTATATTGTCAGTGTAAGTGCCTTTTGTGTGTGAAAAATGCAAAAAACTTCACTTTCACTGATGATATCATCGTTGTACATTTTACTGTTTTGAAACACTAATATTTGTGTTCAGCAAAGTCTCCCAACTAAAACAGTACCCCCGTGTACAGGTTTTATGGTGTCTTGGAAAGTTACAGGGGAAATATAGTGCTAGCAAATTCAATTCTCTGGACTTTCTGCCTGGGTTATCAGACAGGTCCCGCAAATTGTAATTAATAAAATGACTTAATTCTGTAAAAATATTACATAAATATATATGTAGAATAATAATAAAAAAAAAATATATATATATATATTTATATATATATATATATATATTGTAAATTATTTTATATATATATATATTTATGTATTTAGATATATATTATTTCGTTCTAAGTGTATTTTGATGTCAATATATATATATATATATATTTTCATTTTTAACATATTTATATAGTTTTTCATTTTATATATAATTATAGTATATATATATAATTATAGTAAAGTAATTAAATTTTTCATATTTATTGTCACTTTTCACTGGTTACTGTGATTTTGATAAAGACCCCAGGAGGATCGGAACATTGATTTTTGATTTTGCACAGTTGATGTATTTTCGAAATACAATAAATAACTTTTTTCCACCATATTGAAGAGCCTGAGTGCTCCCTTATAATGTTTTAAAACTTTATTAAACTTTTTTTCACAAAGTACCTGTCATTCCAGGCACTCTCCCTGCTGGCACTACTATGGATGGCTATTCCATTCATGTGATCGTGAGGTCCTCTCAAGGACCTCGCGATCACATTGGCAGCAGGGGGACTCCCTGGGATGTCAGGTAAATCCCCCCCATCGCGATCACCGGCAGGTAAATGGGAAGGACGGAGTGGACGTGCTAAGCTGCCCGCCGGCGTTTAGAGCCGGGTCCCCAAGGACGGCATAGCACGCCCGCCATCCTGAAGGGGTTAAAACGCATGGTTTTTCCTTTTGTGAACAAGCATATAACGCTATGATATGGTACTGGTATAATGAAACAATGCTACTGGTCTGGTATATCCCCAGACCGGCATTGATATGGTGTGATGTCCCTGTGTAATGCTTGTAAAAAGGTGCGATTTGCCTTTGTTGTGTTTGCAGTAAAGTGTAATGGCCTGTGTTATGCCTGTGATAAGGTGTGATGTGCCTGTATTATGCTCGTCATTAGATGTGATGTGCCTGTACTATACTTGCAATATGGGAAGAAACATTCCTCTGGCACATCACCATCATCACACAAGTATAAATATGTGTGTGTAAATATATATTTGATTTGAGGCTAACACATTATCATTGGCAATAATCCTCGCCAAGGGCGCTAGAGATCCTAGGTATGCCTCTGCTGTGACCCCTCTTGTCCGATCACAGTAAAGGACCATTGCTAGCTGGAGGTGTAATGGTCCTTATGCTTAATGGGAAATAGATTTGTCACTGTAAACTGGCTAGTTCCTATCCTTTAAGAGGATCTAAACACTATGGAGCAATAGGTCCTTTAGCAGGCAAGGAACTAGCTCTCTCACTGTGAGCTGGATAATTCCAGTCTCTATACAGGACCTGACCACTAGCAGGAAAAAAAAAGGTCCTTTAGAAGGATAGGAACTAGCTTACTCAAACTGAGCAAGCTATTTCCTATCCTTAGAAATGACAGGGTACTTCTACTGGATAGGAACTACTAGACTCAGCCGATAAGAATACTACGTACGACTATTACACTGTGTAAGGCTACTGTTGCAATGACGCTGTGAGTGAACACCCACCATGTAACCACGCCCTATTAATGGGAGAGAGGAAATCGTAGACATATGTCTATGGGGGGTGGGAAACAGCTTATTTCAAATGACGTCAGGACGTAATGACGCCTTTTCAATTCACTTCCGTATTTTCCCCTTTAGCTTTCGCATCCGGGTTATCAGCTACTGCTTCCGTTTAGGAAAGTCTCAGATTTTTTAGGACGCTCGGTTACGCTTCCTGTAACCCTGTGTCTAATTTTTGGTACATAATCTTACTCATTCTGCCGAAAGAGTGGGATTGAACTTGTGTGTGAGCAGTCATGAAGCTGGTCAGGTGAGAATAAAGTTAATTTATGTTTGTGACTATAAGGATGGCGTTAGATTGATCCCCGTAGTTGTAGCTGGCTTGAGAACTGGTTCGTGGCGGGAAATGTGATCTGCGAGTTCTATCGTTTCTTGTTTGTTCTCCTCTTTTGTTTGTTCGAATGCGCGCGAGTGAGACAATGAATACGAGAAATCGCTGTTGAGATACTGGAATATAATTAGCCAGTGTCAAGGCTTATTCACTGACGAGCCATTTGTAGTAAATTGAATACCGGTTTGCACATTTTGGGTATAAGCTGTTTCTTTGTAGAAACCTTCCAAAACACACATTTGCCCTTAACCTGCACGCCAATGCACTATTTATCTAAATAAAGTAAAATAACGCCCGTGTCTGGAAAGTACTTTAACGTTATGTATGGAGTGAATGTCTTTCTTTCTTTTTGTTGTTCCTCAATTTTTCACAAAACATTGCAGATTTTAACAAAAATTGTCACTATTATAATTGAACGCTTTTACCCCTCACCGTCAATGTCAATCATTTGGTCCTGTTCTTGGTTTGTTTAGCTCAGTGGAGCTAAACTCTTGCAGTGGAGCAATGTGAAGCCTGTATTTAGAGGGGGGAGCTAGAAGGGACACCTTGCAAAGGCTTTATATAAGAGATCTGCAGCCTTTTAAAGATGTGCCCCAATGAGGAGATGACATTAAATGCATGCATGTTTTTGTTTAGGATATAAATAGTGACTTTTTTTCTTTGGATAGTGGAGTGTACCTTTTTAATTGCTTTGTGGTAATGCGTGTTTTTTTTATTTTTATTTTTTTAGGTTTTTAATGAAACTGAGCCACGAAACTGTCACAGTGGAGCTAAAAAATGGAACTCAAGTTCATGGCACAATTACAGGTGTGTTCTATAGCATACAGTGCTAATATAATGTTACTTAACTATGGACAGCCTGTTGAATGTGTTTCTAATCGTTTGTCAGGAGATAAAGATAGAGATATAGTTTCTGTAGATGTACTAAGAATTTGAACCATGAGTTTGGGGAAATTTATCAAAATTATCATGGCAAACACATGTTCTGTATTGTTGCAAAGTGATGACCAATATGTCTCTGTACACCTCTATTGCTGTTATATCAATATCATTGAAAGTGAGATGATGACTGCCTTAGTTTGCTTATGTTATGCTTTCAATACATGCTTTTAATTTTTGTGCGTCAATCTGTATATTGATTAAAGTGGATCTATCACTCTCTCTAGTAAAACTAATTGCAGCTTTTAGTGGGGGCGATTGAAGCAGTGGTGGAAAGTTAAGGAAGCACTCCACACACATAAAGAACGTCCGCTTGCTGAAGTGCATTATGTGTGACAATATGCTAATTTAAATTCAGTTGGTAAAAGTGCTAATTTCTTTTTAAAATCTGCACTTTTACAAATAATATAGAAACACCTACTTGGCTGTCTGATTCCATTAGCTCCACATAGTTAAGTGGCAGCATTCCTGTTTTTTCCCTCGATTCACATTGAGACCACTGTCAACTTAGTCAACTCATCCATGCATGCATATACGTAGGAATGCTTTAAGAGTAGTGATGTCCCGAACGGTTCGCCGCGGGCTCATCATTGAGTAAACTTTGACCCTGTACCTCAGAGTCAGCAGACACATTCCAGCCAATCAACAGCAGACCCTCCTAGCCCCTCCCACCTCCTGGACAGCATCCATTTTACATTCATTGTGAAGCTGCATTTTTAGTGAGCTGTCCAGGAGGTGGGATTGTCTGTTGCTGATTGGCTGGAATGTGTCTGCTGACTGTGAGGTACAGGGTCAAAGTTTACTCAATGATGAGTCCGCGGCGAACCGTTTGGGACATCACTATTTAAGAGGGTATTGACTCTCTATTAACTTGTGGTGCCCTGCATGCCCAGGTAACCTATAGCACTACAGTGTACAGCCCTGCAGGGGCTTATCAAACTTGTGAGGTGTCCAGCACATCATGCAAAGCCTTAACATGGCAACACAGAAGATTTCCAAAATAATAATACAATAACTAACTTTCAATTTTTATTTTTTTATTTTTTTTTAGGCAGGAATAAACAAGGGCAAATATCTGTGTTACAGATCCAGGAACGTCACATAAAATATTTCCAATTTTCACCATACATAAAAACAGAACTGTTTAATATAAAATCATAAGAACAGGGCAAATTAAAGGACCACTCTAGGCACCCAGACCACTTCAGCTTAATGAAGTGGTCTGGGTGCCAGGTCCTTCTAGGGTTAACCCATTTTTTTTATAAACATAGCAGTTTCAGAGAAACTGCTATGTTTATGAATGGGTTAAGCCTTCCCCTATTTCCTCTAGTGGCTGTCTCATTGACAGCCACTAGAGGCGCTTGCGTGCTTCTCACCGTGATTTTCACAGTGAGAGCACGCCAGCGTCCATAGGAAAGCATTATGAATGCTTTCCTATGCGACCGGCTGAATGCGCGCGCAGCTCTTGCCGCGCGTGCGCATTCAGCCGACGGGGAGGATCGGGGGAGGAGAGCTCCCCCGACCAGCGCTGGAAAAAGGTACGTTTTTACCCCTTTCCCCCTTCCAGAGCCGGGCGGGAGGGGGACCCTGAGGGTGGGGCACCCTCAGGGCACTATAGTGCCAGGAAAACGAGTATGTTTTCCTGGCACTATAGTGGTCCTTTAAACTTTTTGTTGGCCATTTGGTGGGGCAAAAATCTGACCTGTGACCGTTCACCATCTTTAAGGGTGAATATTTTTTTGAAGTGCTTTAATAGGAAGAATTTGATTTATTTTTATTTTTTTGGTCATTTACCCATGGACTGTGTATATGTTTTAGTGAGCAGATGATCTTGAGCAGTAGGTTTAGAGGTTGGTCCTGCCATCGTTACGCTATGGATTGCAGGATAAAACTTACCAGGTTAAAGGATCTAACATGTATAGCTTGGAGGAAAGACGTGACAAGGGGCATATGATAGAAACATTTAAATACATAAAGGGAATCAACACAGTAAAGGAGGAGACCACATTTAAAAGAAGAAAAACTACCACAACAAGAGGACATAGTCTTAAATTAAAGGGGCAAAGGTTTAAAAATATCAGGAAGTATTACTTTACTGAGAGGGTAGTGGATGCATGTAATAGCCTTCCAGCTGAAGTGGTAGAGTTTAACACAGTAAAGGAGTTTAAGCATGCGTGGGATATGTATAAGGCTAATTATAAGGCTAATTAAACGTATTTCGAAATATTGGGCAGACTAGATGGGCCAAATGGTTCTTATCTGCCGTATGTGTGTCTGTGTTCCATTGCCAGTCAGCTACTGCAGAAAGGCTGCAGGCAGTCTTTAAACTACAGCTTCCATGGTGCTTTGTCAATCTTAAGGCATGCAAAGCATCATGGGAGTTGTAATTCTACAACATCTGGGGATCTACCTCTTGGGCACGCTTGATGTAAACCCTGTACGTGCTAATATTTATGTGAACCAAACAATTGCTAGGAGCGTCCAGCAGTACTAAGTGTTTGATTCATGAGCTGTTCTTTGCACTGGGAGCTTTCACAACAATCACTGTTTTTTTTTATTTATTTTTTATTATTATAATAATTATTAAATCTCTTTATCCTAGGTGTCGACGTTAGCATGAATACACATTTGAAAGCTGTCAAAATGACTGTCAAGAACAGAGAGCCTGTTCAATTGGAGACATTAAGTATTCGAGGAAATAATATCCGATACTTCATTCTGCCAGATAGTTTGCCTCTTGACACTTTACTTGTTGATGTTGAGCCAAAAGTAAAGTCAAAGAAAAGAGAAGCTGGTAAGTGAAAATGTTTGTTTGTGGGTTACAATGCTTCCTATTTATGTGACATATGTGCTTGAAAGGACATTCTAAGTGTGACTGTTCATAGAGCACCTTGTGCCTACTGTTGGCTCAGCAGAGTAGTTTTTGAAATGCACCAATTTAAATAAAATACATTTAAAAAAAAAAAAAAACACTTGCCTTCTTAGAACTTACAATCAGGCCACCTTCTCTTTTCACTCAGAGAAGAGCACGAATCAGCTTTAGATTACTTGTTTCAGTTAACCGCAAACTTATAGCCACTATGATGTATGGAACTACTTTTTGGGAACAAACTACTTATCCCATGGAGCGCTACTGGCCAGATATTTAAAGGATAAGAAAAGACGCCTATGAGTCTGATTGAAGTTTAAAGTGTCTGTTAAGATCTCACAAAACTAACAGTTTAGAAATGATCTAATGATTTCTAAACTGTTATTTTTGTGCAGACTTTGAAGCCATGTGTATGCACGCGCATCTATTTATTGGCAGTGAGAAACGGGGTCATTTATACCCTGTAGTTTCACTTGAAAACTGTTAAGGCTGAAACTAAAACATGTCATTCCTGGATAAATTTCATCCATCCATGCAGATAAATCCTGAAATACAAAATTGAGTGTGTATCTTTTTGGCTTGTTGGATTATTCAGTAAACTTGGTAAAACTGAATTTTCAGAAATCCTGAGCAATTGAAGAAATTTCCCAATGTAGGTAATTTACTCTTAAAGCTTAAATTCACCTGATAGTATTCCTCAAATACAAGTTTAGAGACTAACCCAATTGTCTTGACATTCCTGCAGAAGCCCAAGTTACAAGTTTTGTATTGAATTCTGTCACATCCTAGTCATTGAGGAATTTAAAGATTTATCCACTTTTTCAATTTACCACCTTATGCCATTAGTGTTAAAGGGACACTGTAGGCACCCAGACCACTTTTGCCCATTGGAGTGGTCTGAGTGCCCTACATCTCTTCCCTT